TTTTCCCTTAGTGTTATGTGATGTATATGCGACTTGCTTAATGCCTTTATTATGAACAACCTGAGTCAGAACTGTTCACTCACTTCTGTAATTTTATTAATAAGTATCTAATTGTTATGTGTTTATCCACTCACTGATATATTCTTATATCCCTCTAAAAATCTGCCGGATTATAAATTGAGCAGTAATGGCATTGGCACACATCCTTCCGCCCAATACAAATTAGATATTAATCTTAAGTCCTTTCATATATTATTCCCTTCTTACGATATGCATCATACTTTTGCGTTTGCACATACCAAGATATCATATAAAGAATAGTACTCGTATAGTATTAAAAGCTAACATAAACTTCAGAAATAGTTACGAACAGTCTCGATATTTGAATAACAGTTTTGTGATTCAAAACATACAGTTTTGTATGTTACAATATATTGTAAGGAAGCTTATGCTTTCGTCAATTAGGTATTTCAATATTTAGATTGGGATCACGTCTAGTTCAGCTGCTTTTCGATATTTAGCTAATTTTATTTACCATATCAGAAGTTATTTGAGGACCATCATTCTAAAGTTTCTATATTTTTATGGCGTAGCTTTGATTAATTATCTTCGAATGTATTTTGAAAGTACTTCTGCCCTATGCTATGTAGTGCCTAACTAGTCGGTACATAACTAAAAAACCAAACAAAAACAAAATTAACACGTTGTACCTAACCTTGGATTCTCAAGAGTTTAATGTTCAATTAAAAACAATTTTTAAGGTATTTATGTAAAAGAAGTTTGCAATTTAATTCTTAAATAATATTATTTTAAAGAAACTGTACACATAAATCCAGAAAATGGAACAGTATATGTCATCAAGTATTTTTACATTTAGATATTCTACTCTTCTTCTTCTTCTTTTTATATAGACATGACTCTGTTTTTCAATGTGCCTCCAGTAAGTTGTCGTTCCATCGTTTTCGTGGTCTGTCTACTTAGCGTATTGGGGAACCCTCTTGCCGTCTTTACTACTCTGTTTGTTGTCATTCGGCTTATATAATCGTTCCATTCTACTCTTCTATTTCTTACTTAGTCCTTGATGTTTTTCACCTTGCATCTACGTCTTATATATGTACTTCTAGCTCTGTCCCATAGTGTCTTTCCATTAATTTTATTAATAAGTGTTTTCATCTCTACTGGTTCTAACATCCTTTTTGCCCTGTCTGTGTCAAGTCTTGTTTCTGCCGCGTATGTCGTTATTGGTCTGATGACTGTTTTGTAAATTCTGCGTTTCGTTTCTTTCCCAATATTTTTATTTCTCCATCTTGTTTCGTTAAGGCAGCCTGCGGCTCTGTTTGCTATATTCACATGATCTTACACTTCAGTTTCAAGCTTTCTGTAGCTAGATAATGTGATGATATTTAAACTTTAACAGTTGTTCTATTATCTAACCTTTCAGTTTCAATTTACATCTTCAGTAAATTTGCTGTTATAACCATGCATTTTGACTTTTTTGGGAAAATTTACATGTTAAATTTTCTAGCCCTAATATTAAATTGGTGCAGCATACGTTGTAAATCATCTCCGCCTTAAGAGAGAGTAAGTATTGAGTAAGAGAGTAGTATTGAGTCGTCTGAATAGCAGATTATTTTAATTTGTCTTCCCGCCCCCCCCCCCCCATTTGGAATCCTTTTTTAGTTCTTACTATTTTTATAATTTTATTCATAATCAGTTTAAACAATAAAAGACTCAGGGAATCTTCCTGTCTTATCTCATTGCCAGCTTCGGTACGGCCAGTAAGTTCTTCTTCTACTTTTACTTTTATTCTATTGTTTTGGTAGATATTTTTGATCGTTTTGATTATTCCTAGAAGTATCTTTCTTGCATATAATAAGTGAAAAACGTCCTTTAATTTGACCCGGTCAAATGCCTTATTAAAGTCAACGACACAAAAATATGCCGGTTTGTAATGATTTCTTTTGCACTTGTCCCATTATAAATATTATAGCGTCGGTGCATGATCTTGGCAAACTAAAACCTTGTTCCTCTTCTGCTAGTGATATAATTTCATTCAGTATATTTGTTATCATTTGTGTTAATTTTAGTGTTGTGTTTAATAGGTTAATTTTACAGTAATTTTCCCGGTACGATTTGTTTTCTTTTTTGAAGAGGGGTATTAGGATGCTTGATCTCCATTCTTCAGGAATTCTGTTGTGTTCTCTTATTATTTGAATTAATTTGTAATAGGTGTTTGGTTAGATCTGATATTCTGTACTTTAGAAGTTAGTTCGATATTCTATCCTTTTGCTGATTTTCTATTTTTTAATTTTCTTAATGTTTCCTTGACCTCTTCCTCCTCAATATTTATATCTTCGTTTGTTTTTACCTCTGGTGTCAGTGGTTCATTATCATCAATTTTGCAAATAGGACTCGAAAGTAGTCTGCCTATGTTTCTTTCTGAATGTGTTACGTTCTTGTTAGTTCGTTCATCTCTCTTGTTTGTCCTCTGATCCTTCTTCATATTTGTTTTGTGTTCCGTAGAAGTCATTTTTTTTTCCTTATAAGCCGTTTTTAGAATCTATTTTGAGAAACTCTGCTAGTGTTGCCTTTGTATTTGTCTAACTAAAGTATTCGTTTCATTTTTGATTTATTTATAGTGGTTGCATGTCTGTTGTGTTTGTTATGTTCTGTTTTGTAACAGTCTTTCTTCTTATCTTCACATTTTTTCTTCATTTTCTCTCTAAACTATGGTGTTTTCTTTTTTGATATGTTAGTGTTCGTTACTTTTCTCTGTCCAGGATGATTCTTATTTTACATAATACTAGGCTATGGTCACTACTTACATCTGCTGAGTTGAGGCATTTATGATTTTTCATGGATGTATATGTATATTCCACTCTTGTGGCCGTTTAAATTTTTGCTTAATTTAATATTACACTCTTAAGAATCCAAGATTAGGTACAACGTGTAACTTTTTTGGTGTTTGGTTTTTTAGTTACTGACTAACTAAAACACGTTTTCATCCTTGATTTTTTTATTTTTAATATTGTTATTCCTTGTTCCATAACATTGAGATTAAACATTTCTTAATAGATTCAAGGAATGAGTTCGACGAGATAAACTACAGAAGTTATATAGGCGCAAATATATCATTGTCTAGTGATCTTAACATTAAGGGCTAGAATTTCAGACATCAGTAAAGAAAATAAATTGGATAGAAAAAAAGAATGTGTAAAAGCTGAAAGATGCGACAATTACAGAACGGTGACCGGAAAATATCAACATCAGACTAAGGAATCAAAATGTAAATGAAAAGGGCCAGACAGATATGGACCAGAAGAATTGCAAATACTGAAGAAGCAGCAAAAGATTAAATAGGAACAGAAAATTGAATGCAAGAATGCAACCAAATAAAAAAATGAAGCCTAGAGAAAAATGCTTAATCTATGAACTAGAACAACTGTAGAGAATTATCAGGCAAATCAAAGGGAGAAAAAGAGGGTACACAAAAGAAAAAAATGAAACCACTTAAATAATTAACTTAAATATATAGAAAATTTTAAGAGAAAAATAGAATTCAGAGCATTCTATGCAAAAGTTAACAAAAACAGAAAATATTTCAAGGCAACCACGAGTCAATGCAGAAGTCAGAACGGTGACCTATTAATAACAAGAAAAGATGTATTAAATAGATAGGTGGAATACTTTAACCAGGCACTTAATATAGAGGAGGAAGAAGGAAACCTTGAAGACGAAAGAGATGAGGTAACCGTAACAAATGAGAAGGAAGAGGAACCATCAGCTATTCCTGAAGTTAAGCATGTTGTTAAAAAACTAGTCCGAAACAAACCACCAGGAATAGACGTTCTCCCAGCTTAACTATATAAAAAAGGTGACGATAATATCATAATGGCACTACAGCAGCTCATAAAATACTATCGCAGAGATAAACCGCAAAATTTGCACGGCCAATAGATCATATTTTAGACTCAATATCCTTCTTTAATCCTCAATATTGTAGAGAAATACAAAAGTAAAATTTTACAAAACAATAATACGCACAGTCCTAACATAAGGTTAAGAGACCTGGACTCTAACAAAAAGTAATGAAACCATGTTGAGATGTTTCGAAAGAAAAGTACTAAGGCGATTTTATGGAGCAGTGAATTGAATGACAATGAAGTGTGGAGAAAACGATATAACTTTATAGAATATACCAAGAACCAGATATCGTAAAACATATTAGCATAGGACGTCTGACGTGAGTAGGGCATGTAATGTGAATTGAACAAAATGACACAACTAGAAAAACGCTCCTTGATAGACCCATTGGTCAGAGAAGAAGAAGAAGACTCAGAACAAGATTTCTTGATAACATCGATGGAGACATGAGAAATATGGGAAAAAAATGCTTGGCGGAGAAAAGTGATACATAGTGATTATTGGAAAGAAGTTCTTAAAAAGTCTAGTACCCACACCGGGTTGTAAAGCCAGAATGATGAATTTATTATTGTTCGATGTTCATTTTTTATTTTATTCTCCTTTTCTTTTCTTTGTTGCTTTACCTCCTCTTTTTTTCTAGTTTTAGTTTTTAACCTCAAAGTATCTTTATAGTGTTTATGCTATACGTTCAGTACGTTGGGTATGTTTGTTTTTAATCGATTTCCTCCGTTACTAATTCCTTTCATCTGTTATATTTTTCGCCTCGTCAAACATTTGTCTTTCATATTTAGTTCTTCTATTGTTTTTAAAATGTGATTCTGTATTTTTATTATTTTCAAAACAACTTAATTAGTAAAAAACCAATAGTTTGATAAGTATATAGGCACACTTTGTAACAAACAATTAATTATGTCAAACCGAATGAAAAAAATATACAATAATTAAATATTGTCTCATCTATGAATATCAATATATATGAATATTTTTAACAGAAATATTATTTACCTCATATTCCAAGTTGCCAGGTGCGCAAGATTGGTCCTCCTATAATTCCAGAACATCCCTTCTTTGCAAAAATGGATGCCAGTTATGTTCCCAACAATCCTCAGTTCGGACTTCAACTAGAGTGTAACTGGGGTGGCAGTTCTTCCGGCTTACAACAGGTAAAATTCCAGTTTAAATTTTTTTAAAATTAAACAATTTTCTATTATTTACTTGATTTGTTGCAAATATATGTTTATTCATACATTAATATAAAATTTCTCTTTATTCATTTTAAATATTTAAATACGAGCTATTTTTCATAATTCTAAAAAATTATTGTCACCAACCTTGTTGGAAAAGTTAAGCACTGTAAAGGAAATATGTATTATTGAAGTGAATCAAATGTTTAATTTCCAACGTGTACCTACTTTCAACGTTGAGTTTACTTTTAATTATACATAATTGGAGCTGTATTCAATTTACAGAATACTACAAAAAAAATCGCAAAAATAAAAATATATTATGTATTTATTTTTGAATGAGACTTAATCCATATCAGGCTAGCGCTTATAAAATGGATTATGTGTTTTCGTTCTGATCTGTTTCCGTTTGTTTTAATCCTCATTCTCGTTGAATTGCCTAAGATGTTTTTGTAATGTTCTTTGCCAGTATGAATTTTGAGCTCCCCTCTATGAGGTGGTATTTTAATTTAAACACAGCTTCAATAATTTGCAATACCTACATCTGCCAGCTAAAGTAGAGAGCTTTGCACAAAAACATATTTTTTTATAAATATTCTTACAATAAATTTCATTTATTGTAAGAAATCTAATGTGTTAAGAATAGTTTTAAACTATTTTAAATTTCAATTTTACATTTTAAATAGAACCTAATCCAAATGTTATCCTGTTGCTTGTGGTTCCGTATTTGCCAGTTATATTAGCTAATTTATCTGATCGACCATTGATCTAAACAACTTTATCAACGTTTTGTTAATCCTCGTACATATACCATTAAAATTTTTTTACCAGAAATTATACCAAAAAGTAAATATGTATGCCAGAAATTTTTTCATCTTCCCGCTGTTTGTTTACATTCAATCGTTGTTCAATAATTAGTTTCCGATTAGACTGATTGTGCGTTATTTCGTTTATAAAAAATATAATGTTTTAAGAACAGGTCCTCGATTTTAAAATAGCAATATCCAAATATTATCATGTGTCTTAGGGTTCCATAACCCTTAGGACATTGCTAACTGTATTAGCCTATTTATTTTCTCTACCGCCTCAAGTCTGTCGATGTTTTGTTGGTTTACGAGCGTATATAATTAAGCCAGAAATTTCGTCATATTCCCGGTCTTCTTTTACCTCCAACCGTTACTTCAATGATTAATTGCAGAAGGTTATATTTAAAAAAAAACTCAGAAGTTAAAACACTTCACACATGTGTATTGTGGTATAAAAACAAACAAATATTTAAAACTTTATAAAAGTGTCGTCAACATTTAAATTCTGGAAGAACGTTTTCAATCTGAACAGATCATCCTCAGTGCCTTGTGTATTTGTTGCTAACAGTAAAGTTGTCTATAAAACCTCCATGTATGGATTTACAGTATTCCAAATTAAAACGACACAGACCCTTTCAACTGACAAGTACCACGTGCTAATATTCGAGCAGGGAGACATGTTTTCCAATTAATGTTATATTTTTAATTTCTCAAAATATGACCGAAATACTTTATATTTTATTCTTTAAGATTGAGTAGTTTTTTCTTCTTTTCTGTTTTTTTTTGGAGCACTTCTATATATGACTGCTCCATGATATTCTAAGATATTATCACAACTCAAATTACATCAGTTTTTTTTCTAAACTTGTTCTAATTCAGTTTGATTTATGTTTAAAACTTCATGTCTCATTTGGGTTCTTGCTGATAACCATTATTTTTTTTTTCTTTGTTTAAATTTCATTCCAAATTTTTAATGTTTTTAGTTTTTAATTTAGTATTCTTCAGTTATTCTTCAGTTATTCTCTCATCAGCTTTTGTAGCGTTTCTTTGCTATCTGCCGATATCACTGTATCATCTACTTATTGTGACATCTGTTAGCCGTAGCCTTCCTAAAAATTCTTCTGAATATATTAAACCGTAAGCTGGACAGATTGCAATACTATCATATCCCTCTTTCAATAATAATTGAATCAGTTTTCGTATTCTACATTTTTAATTTCGCTGGGTATGTTTTCATTAGATGTTTTAGATCTTATATGATTTTAGTATATTATTGATATCTTGGGTTTTATCTTGTGAAATGTTTCTTCATGGTCTTCAAATATTTTCCATGACTTCTATAAAACTGATTCGGTCTCAGCTTTATAGAAAAGAGACGGGTCACTTATATGAGGCTAGTCGAAAAAACTGAAGATTTTGGACTTATAGACTAAAACGTTCGAAGATTGTCTATAAAGCTTTATCAGCTTTAGCGCTTTAACATTTACTGGCTACATTGGTATAGTTTGAATGCAGTAGTGCAGAACTAGTTTGAGCGGCAGTCAATAGTATTAATAGAATCTGCTCTTTAGTGCCAGTTTTATTAATTCTCTGTATCGTTGCTTTAGTTATGGGGCGTAGGCATATTAGATGCCATTACTATACATTTTTTCCCTCGATTTCGCCATTTTGTGAGTTTTTCTTCTTTGAGTACCTCTCCTATTGGAGATTGGATATCATTATTGCGATTCTAATTTTATTCACTGCCGTTTTGAATAATTCGTTAATGGTACAGCCAAACCACTCTCTTAAATTTCTCATCCAGGACATTCTTCTACGGCCTGGATTTCTGCGTCCTTGGATTTTTCCTGGCATTATATTTTGTAGGAACGTGTACTTTTGTCCTCTCATCAGGTGGCCGAAGTATTCAAGTTTTCTCTTTTTTATATTCATAATAACTTCTGGATCGTTATTATTTATTCTGCATATTACCTCTTCATTTGTAATTTTATCCACCCAACTTATTTTTAATATACGGCGGTAGCACCACATCTCAAAGCTTTCAAGATTTTTAATATTCATCTGTTTAAGAGTCCATGCCTTAACACCGTAAAGAAAAGTACTGAATACATAGCATTTTAACATTCTAGTTCGTAGATGGATACTAATATCACGATTACAAAATAATTTTTTCATTTTTATAACGGTAAACCTGGCAATTTCAATATGTCTTTTTATCTCGTGATTTTGGTCATCTATTTCATTGATGAGGATTCCCAAGTATTTGTATTCGTTTACTTTTTCAAGTTGGGTACCATTTATTGCGTTACTAGTGTCATGTATTGGATTCTTACTGAAGGTCATATATTTGGTTTTTTTGACGTTCATCCTTATGCCGTAGTTATTACATATCTACTTCATACTTTCAACTAGATGTTGTAGATCTTCCACTGTTTTTGCCATTATCACAGTATCGTCAGCATATCGAATATTATTGATAACTTCTCCATTGACTATTATCCCTTCGTTTGCATGTGAGAGAGCTTTTTGGCATATTTTTATGAACCTAAGCCCATGAAAATCCACTAAAAAATATATATTAAGGTTCAAGAACTAAACTCAAACTATATATATATATATATTAAATCCTAAAAGAAGTTCAGTTGCAGCACAAGCTATGGTCCACACTTTGAAGCGCCTTTTTATTGGTTTCAAAGTTACGTATTGTTTCACAGCTAACCTATCTTTAAAACCAATCATGCTTTCTTCAATTGACAAGTTATAACTTGGACACAAAAGTTCTTTTCACAAAAAATGAGGTGTATTCAAATAATCTACAAGAGAGCTACTTTGTACAACTTATCAAAACCTTCTTTGCCTTTAGCCGGCATGTTTGTGTTATCATTTAGATGTAAATATCTTAGTATCTGAGAGGCATAATTCTTGCAATTTTGAAGACTGAGAAATTTTCATTAGAATACTGATGGTAATTCATATATCATATGAATTCATATATAGAATACTGATGGTGCATATAAGTTAAATTCTTCTACTACTTTTTCTAAAAAAGTTCAAAACATCGTCAAGAATATTACTAATCTTAGTTATAAAATAAAGTTAGAAAAAAATAATAATCATAAATAAAAATAATAAAAAATATTTTAATTTCTTTAACAGGGAAAGCAAAGTGTATATTCTGAAATATTTTTAAATTTTTTCTTTTTTAAATTTTATATTTTTTCTTAAATATTTTTTTTTAAACTAAACGGATTTCAAAATGACAAATATTATGTATATATATATATATATATATATATATATATATATATATATACATAATATTTATATATATATATATATATATATATAATATATATATATATATATATATATTGAGTTTGGGTGAGTTGGAGTCAATATAAGGGCTGTTGAAACCAATCTAGATTGGTTAATTAAATCTGCTAACTTAAATACTTTCATTAATATTAAGTTCTTACATGTTAAACAAAAATTATATTGACATGAAAACTGCTGAGACAAAAATAAATAGATTACAGTTTTATTACAGATTACTAGTTTCCTAGATTACAAATTAATGGTCAGAAAGATTGGAATTTTGACCAAGGTGGTTATAAATAAATTATCGATAAATGGGAAAGAGTAATACAAAAAACCCTGTCAATGCCAATGAAAGCCAGCCTAGAGCGACCAATAGCTAAAAATGGGATACATTTTAAATATATTGTCAACGTGACAATTTTTAAAGGATTTAAACAATTCGAAAAATATTTTCTTAGTTTACAGAAGGACAAAAGAATGCAATCAGGAAATGAAATAAAAAACAACCAATGCGATGTACTTATGGTGCTATAAATAAATTATAAACAAATAATGTAGTTATAAATTATACTAAAATTCTGAATTTCTAATCTTTTATTTAAAATATGATCAATTACTATTTAACTGGGAATTAGCCACAATTAAAGATAAAAATACGTTTATTGACGGTTCAATTTCCACTTCGGAAATCGTTCTCAAAATACAAACAGTGTATTTTTATCTTTAATTGTGGCTTATTCCCAGTTAAATAGTAATTAATTTAAAATGCCACAAGAAAATAGCTTCAGAACAAAATATGATCAGTTTTGCTTATGAATACCATTTCTAAAAAGGTCCTTTTGAATTTATTACCTC